GCTGATGCGATGACAAAATCAAACCCAAATTGTGCATTAGAAACACTAATCAACGATAACAAACTTACGATGCGAGTCCAAGGGTGGGTTAAAAGGAGTTTGGAGACTTAGAGGATATGATTTTCTTTTGGCTGCTCGGTATTGATCTGATGACTTAACCCACAAAAGAAGAGATTGCCAGTGTCGGAACGATTAATTCGGTTGAGTCTATCTTGGGTTTGGAGTTGGTGGTCCCTGCATGATGTATAACAGTTCTCTTTGTAATTCTTTTATATCGGGTAAACTATTATCCGAGGATAGATACCAACTTCGTGGCTATAGTTTAGGGGAGAGATATACATAATCAATCGAACCCAATCGAACAATTGTTCTCATTACGTACTGCAGTACTCTCATAACTTCAAGTGAACCTATTGGCTTGTAGTGTATGACCTTTGTCATACCAACAGAAAGGAATAATTACGAAAGCGGGAAAATTTAAGAGCTCAGGTATCTGATGGCCGAGGTTGAAAAGAAACCTGCGCTTCGACGCTTATAATTCAGCTACTCTTAAAAGTCGGACACGACATTTTTTCAATTTATTGTCCTGCTTGAATATATGACTTTGTAGGACATGCAGGTCCTCTCTGCCTACAGGCCAAGGATACCTATGCCTGTAGTATATCCACTCCTATGCCTTCATTACAGCTCCCCTCAAACAGTGCCACCCCTCACAAGTCCTTATTCAATCATACACCTAGAAGATCCCTTTTCCCTTCATTAACTCCCCTCTCCGACCATCCAAACAATGGCCATTTCTAGGTGTGTAGCAGCAGGAGAAAATCTCAAAAACCACAGGGCAAGGGGCTCTTCTAATACCGACAGTAGGACTAAGTTCCGAGACATAGTGACCCTTATGAAGCGTTCAAAGAGACCGGCCAGCGGGGCGCTGCATATTTTTAGGTACCTAAAGCGAATCACTCTCTGCATTTCTAGCCTCTCAACTCCTTCTCGAAGATCGTGCTAAAAAGTCAAAAAAGTATGGATAGAGCGTGATTGCTGTATGGCAGCTTAAACCAACTTCTACTGTACCGTCCAGGGCTCTGAGGAGTGTCGTTGGCTCATCGACAACAGAAGTCCTCCTGTCTCGAGGGGCTATTCTCAACACCTGTCAGTGGTGTCCCCTACGAATTTCTAGCTCCCACTGTAGATTCCTCAGAGCCGAAATTGAGTAACACCTTATCAAATTTGAGCTGAGTTATCTCCCCCACCATCAAAGATACGCTTCCAATGATACATAAGACGACCAAGACGACGATAATGATGCTGGAAACGAGGAAAGATAATACCGTACCGAACGCTCTAACGGTAGTTAGAGAAGCCCTCGTTACATTACAATATGTGCGAACCACTGGCGGGCAAACAAAAGGCCCACGAAAGCAGAGTTAGAGACCATCCCGCCTTTGGGAAAAGCAGATTTTGACTAGTCAAAAATATCTTCTCTCCTAACCTCTAATTCCAAATCTACTAGCCAGGAGAGCTTCTGAAATATATGAGTTACCCCATAATCCCACGTCCGTCACGACTTTTGAATGATAGGCTAGGCTCCTTCACGGCGGTCACTCTCGACCAAGACTTTTCTGACATCCTTTCACGACCTTCGATTTGTCCTGCGCCATGAATCAGGGGAGGAGTAAGGAGGAGGGTAGGAAGGTTGAGAGACGCTTTCAGGTATACACAGGTCTGCTGCGCTCGGCTGGTTGGCTTCTTCGTCATTGGAGAGCTCCGCACCCAGTGGTTTTTGAGACTTTTCCCTGCAGCTACACACCTGCAAATGGCCATCGTTTCGTTGGCTAGAGAGAGGATACAATGACGGAATAACGGCTCTTCATAGTGTGTACTCGAATGAAGACCTGCGGGGGTATTACTGTTGGAAAGAAGTCGTGAGGGGGGCATGGGAGTGAGAACACTACCCGAGGCATAGGTACTCCCGGTCCGTAGGCAGAAAGTACTTACATGTACTTACATAGAAATAGATTCATGAGGACAATAAACACTCATTCTCTCCTCCTTGAGGGTATAAATAGTGTCGTAAATATGTATCAGGAGATGGCTGATAATTAATGGGGCAAGCTACTGTTTGCAATTGGAGCAACTTCTTTACCCGTCGCTGAGGCGAGATGATGCGTGATTAGAGAGTGGTTGAGGTCTCAGCTGAGAATGGTAAGAGAGGCATTGTCGAGAAATCGTCAAATGGAGATATGCTTGAGGTCGCTTTCGACTTCGATTCGGATGCGATTCCCCTTGGCTATCCCAGATATGCAGAGCATACTGAGCGCTTACGCCGGCACTACTGGAAGGTGAAGAATTCGTCTTTGCTGGCTCCTACTGCAGAGTCCGTTGGCTCATACTGGTTGATGAGAGGTGGCTGGTCATTACAAAGTTTAACAGAAACATAAGACTCGTGTGGATTTCTCCCATATGTGTATACATACAAGTCCAATGTTCCCACAGTTGTAAGATATCAAGTTTTCTTCACTTCATCATGTATATCCATGTAATATCGTACAGAGAATATTTTACAACAGTAATAGATTTCAAAGGCTCATATTATTACCCGCTAATCAAACCTGCTCGATTGCAATAAGCAATGTCGAAACAGATAAAATATGAATTAAAAAATAATGTCGAAACAGCGCCTTCACCTCTCTCGCTAGGTAAAGAATAAAGGGTGTGTCGACAGAATTAAAGTCTACTTGTGAGCGACCATCCGCTAGTTAGTACAATGTTACCGACGCAGTTTTCCATCTATTCTCCCTGTCTTTTTGAGCAACTTTCTTGTGGCGAGGGCTCGAGAAATTAGGGTTTCCCTTACTCCAACAAACAAGACTCCAGCCTAAAGGTAATCTTGGCCTACTGCAGTTTTAGCAGGCCTATTTTACAGTGCTGGGCCCTTCACAATAATGAAGGCAGTAAATTCAGTTCAGAAAGCAAAATGCGCCAATTCAAGCGTAACAATGGACGCATGACTTTAACTACGCCTAACACATAACTATCTCCACCAAACCCTGTCGTCATCAGGCATAGGATCAGCCGCGTCACAGAATTTCGGCAACCGGCTAATGGCATTATGTTAGATTAGATTTTAGATTAGATTTTTTTATTATAGTCCCTACTGAGTCCAAGACTATGAGGGACTTTGTGAATCTAACTGAAGAATCTAATTATATTTGAGAAATTTAATTTTGAAATATGCCAAAATTTGTTCTTGTAGATATTGAGGGACAAGCCCTATGGTATTATGTTGGTTCAGCGGGTTAAAGACGACTTTGCCATGACTGCAAAGAACAGTCAGTCGGAAAGACACCCCCAATTCCTCTGCTCTTCAGAGGAATCCTGGAATGAATATTGGGGCAGAATCAAATGTGGTTGCTATTCAAATTATCATCGCCGCGGTGACAATCAATAAACTCATAAGTCGTATCAAAATGATGCCCTAGATGGTAACCAGTGGCCAAATAAGTTTTCTTTCTGGCTAGTCCACACGAAAAATCTGTTGCGATAATGGCTAATGTCAAACAAAATATTTTTCAAATTTCTAATTAAATTATATAGTTATTTGGGTATCTTCAGCAGTCCTTCATAGTATTTTTTTAAATTATTTCATGAATTTTCAGCTATCTAGCTATGTCGCATGACCAGTGCTATGTATACATGTCGGATGACTCTTTTGACGTTTTTATCATTCATGCTTTAGATTTCATTCGCAAAGACTACTATAAATTATGATTGTTTACACGAACAGTTGACCCTCCTTCGTGAGTACCCACAAAAGGAACATTTCAAACCCTTTGATTATCCAAGCATGCCTTCATCATCCCTGCATACCAACAACATGGAAAACGTGGCTGTGTTTTGGCGGGTTCGATCCAGCAATCTACTGTCTCGAGTGGGATATGTGTCCAAGCTATCCAGACTCTACTTGGCAGACCGGCCAAGACGATGTACCAATGCACCATCCAACCGTGGTAGAATTTATAGAGTCGCCTGAACTCTTGCAATCAAAGTCTTAGCAGGCTCAAAGTTCAATTTGTAAAACTCCGCGCCGAGATCCAAAATTTCACACCCGCCGAGAATGTATCTATTCTCTGTATCGTCTTGTAAACTTGCACTTGTTCATCTCACACCAATCCCTTAGAACTGTCTCCCAGTTTTGTGTGCCACGCTTTGTTTCCTCCGGTAGTTGTAAGTATCGGCATGGGCTTTTGTTTGCTGGTCAGCTGATGCCAGAGAAAGTCGACGAGAGGTGTGGTCATTGGAATGAAAGTGTACTCGATCGTACTTATAAACTTGATGAGACATAGGTAGGAGTTGATCTTGTTGGCAGTGGAAATTTGGAATGGATTGTTTTGAATCATTATCTCTTGGGCCAACTTGTCCGATATTGCTAGAATAGACTGAACTTAGCTCCTGGAAAAATTTCATTCCCAGATTTGTAGAAGGTACTGTGTATAGCTGTTCAGTCATGCCCTCCGCGTGTCAAGCTCGTGTGTGCCTCAAGAGGGTCTTCATATGTTCCTAGTTTTCTTTCAACCTCTTGTGTCATTAGCGCTTCGAGATATACTGAGGCTCACCTTAAATTTTTAGGATATTTTTCATAGAGTTTGTGCTTTAGATTAACCTAGGTCAACTCAATAGGGCCGACATAGATTGTGGAGAGCCCTATAGCATCGACGGGAATGTAAAAACTTCCGGAAATTATAGCTATATAACCAGCTATTCTTGTTCTGTGTTTAGCACTGAGCTTTCGGTATGTAAACTTCTAATGAGTGAGGGTATGGTATGTACCTTGCGTTTAAGCAAAGGGAAGCATAACCAATATCATACCTAGTCTCGCTTAGAGTCGTATCCCTTAGTAAGGGTTATATTATTCCTTACAAAGAGGGGTCGAAAGTAAGGCACTCTACTCAATACACAGCAACGCGAACCTTTTTAACATACTAAAATCAACTGTATCGAATATGGCGGAACCCTTGTCAGATCCTAAAGCTACAGAGTCTACAGTTTTGCCTAACACTGTAGATTCTTCAGCTGATCAAGTATGTTAACCTCTCTACAATCAAGGATTTAATATCCATGTCTACACTGGACCAAATAAAAACTAACTACACACTGTAGACATCAACCGAAAAAGTTGCGAACGCAGCATCAAATGCTATGTTCACTGCCTCTTCAACATTCGTAGGTGTTGCGGATAATATGTTTTCTATGTTTGGTGGGGGTGCCAAGAAAGAGAGAAAAGACGATGAAGACCGTGGTGACAACTCTGGAAGTGCAAAAGCTAAGAGGGAAGCTGAAAAAGAAGCCGCCAAGGAAGAAAATAATGAGGTATGAGGACTCTTATCACAACTCTTTGCTTGTATCTCTCTAAAAAGTTGAAATTCTGATTTGGACAAAAAGGAAAAAGATGAAACTCCCGAGTCCGAAGATGTCCATTTTGAACCTGTAATTCGTCTTACAGAAAAAGTGGAGACGAAAACAAATGAGGAACTTGAGGAGCAGACTTTCAAGATGCGTGCCAAATTATTCCGCTTCGTGAAAGAAAGTAATGAATGGAAAGAGCGTGGTACCGGCGACGTTCGCCTGCTCAAGCACAAAGAAAATGGAAAAACTAGATTAGTTATGCGAAGAGATAAGACTCTGAAGGTTTGCGCCAATCACTATGGTGAGCACTCAAAGAGCCCGAAAATCACGTATACTAAAACTAAAAAGTTGTACCCGACATGAAGCTTTCCCCGAATGTGGGCAGCGATAGAAGTTGGGTCTGGAATGCTGCCGCAGATGTGAGTGAAGGCGAACCAGAGGCGCAAACCTTGGCGATTCGATTCGCCAATTCCGACAGTAAGGATTCCATAGATAACTACCTTATCAAATAATCTAACCTCAACAGATGCCAATCTTTTTAAGGAGGCTTTCATGAAAGCACAAAAAGAGAACGAGGTACTCTTCTCAAAAATAGCAGAAGTTGAGGAAACAGCTGAAGAAAAATCATGAGAGCTTCAAAATCATAACTATTCTAAGAGCTTCGCATCCAAACTGACAGAGCTACTCTAACGTATCAAAATAATCCCAAACCTTGATACTTAACCCCAGAAGCTTCCTATCACTAAAATATAAAACATCTAGGAAAGTAGCTCCTGCGCGCTAATCATGAGACAGACATACTCGGGCTTGATTTACATCGAAGTAAACTCCAGAGGTAGATAACAGGAAAAATTGGTTTGGTCAACAAATGCGAAGGAGGATTGTCAGGTTCCCATAATTTCTTGACCTCTGCTTAAATCTTAGTTGATCTACAAAAACATTAAATCCCCACGTTTGAAAACAGTACTTTAATTATTGCTCATCTAAACGCAATATTCCAAACGTGATTCAGATGAAATTCAGCTAACTAGGTGCGGGATTTAGACAACAGCTACTTTTGCTCGCTTTCAAAAATCTTGTTCAAAGTTTTTGATCCCAATGAAATATCAAGGATACTCATTACCTCTCTGCGGAAGCAGTGCAAAAACGTCCTCAAGTAACGGGAAATCCCCTGTAGAGGCTCAAGATGATATGTGCACTGCGCATCAAAGGGCTGAAAATTCCTTGCTTAAGCCTTAGTTTATGTGGTACAACAAAGTGCAGCTGATTCTCCGTGCTTTAAAAGACTAAACATCCAAAGCTTAGTTTTTTTAAAAAAAAAAATAAACAGCCGCGTTCCCATGTCAGCGCTTCATTGCGAGGTAAAGTTATTTTCAAGTCTTTAGGTGCTTGGAAGTCTTCGTGAACAGAACATATTATAAACAGAGAACGCTAGACAATTAAATTGGTGAAGAAAAATATGATCAGTTTTGATGAGACATGATTTTGAAAGGTGTGACTTGTTTGTTTTTATTTAAAAATTTCTCTTTTAAGGCACAAATTACCCCTTGGTGCGCCAAAACTGGGAAGGCTTCCATTCGTTAAAGGAAACCCCAACTGAGAATGTAGATGCTATGATGTCACTAAATAGCCAATTATACATAGTTGTTAATTCAAATAGGAATAAGTAAAATAAACAACGTGATTACGCCATGGGTTTAGAACACGAATTTAAATCAAGTGGATAAGGGTTGGAGAAGTTTCAACGAACAATTCGAGATCCGGAGACTTACTAATTGTTAACAGGTAACATGTTGTCTGATTATGAACTAGTTTGGCATAAAATTAGACGGCTTAAATTTAAATCACGTTTCGGCGGCTGTCTGGTAAAGGTCTTGGCCAGGCATTCTTTTCCTGGGCATGTTAGATAATCCAAAATTACAAAAAACGTGACACACAATATCTTGTTGAGCCACCGTGTACGCTGGATGTAACTGCGCGGCTTAACACCCTCATCCCCGCCGTCGCGTCAGTGAAGAATTAAGAAAAGCTTGCTCAAATATCCGACTGCTTACATAGAGCCCTCTATTCAAGATGGTCGCTGAAGTTAGTAGAACTTGGGCGCGTAGTCTAGCTACTAGACCGGCGTTGAGCAAATGCTAATATGCTATAGGTTAAGCGCTTCGTGAAGGTTATCACTGAACAGCGCAACATGTACGTCTAGGTTACGTGTGTAACTAGATGTTATGCGGAATGGACATTGACTATCTGACTTAGTGACAAACCTTCCGAGGTAGAAGGCTTTCCCATGAAGGCATGGAACATTGAGATCTTTCTTCTCGACGAGGCCGGCAACGAAAAGACGGCCAATTGTTTTACCAAGGCTGTCTACAATCTTCATCCATCTTTCGCCAATCCGGTTCAAAGTTCGTTCCCTTTCCTATATAAGGCTTAAGCGCACACTAAAGTCCGCATCAACAGCTTTCACCAACCCTCCATTTCGGTGCGAGAACGAAGGATGGGGTGAGTTTGACATGACAATTGATTTGTACAGTACCGAAAAAGGTGGTAAAAATTCTATCACTCATGATCTGAATTTTGCCAAGGGCAGGTACGAGGCCAAGCACCAGATCACATTCAAAAATCCGTCAGCTACTCTTATCAATGTGTTGAGAGAGACAGGACCCGTCCCCGGCGACGAAAATACCAAAAAATCTGGTACATCAAAGAAGAAGAAAGGAGTAGATATGGAAAAGTTAGCGGAGGGTCTTGTTAAGTTAGGTGAGGATGACTTATTGCACGTCGTGCAAATGATTCATGACAATAAAAGTGAGGACACCTACACTAAAAATGATATCGACCGTAAGTTGTCTATGAATGAATGTCAAGTACGATATTTTACTAAAAATCAAGCAGAGGGTGAGTTCCATGTAGACTTGTATACCCTGCCAGAAACTCTTATCAAAATGCTCTGGGACTTCGTTTCGACCAAATCTTGAACGTATGGTTCATTTTGCTATAAATTGGAAGCACTAGCAAATCAGCTTGTTTTATGAAAAATTTCGTGAAGGATGCATGGCGTTCAGAGGAGAGCGGGTAGAATAAGTTTGTCTCATAGACTAATGGCACCCTCTATGTAGATTTCTGTGCAGTTTAATCCCAAATGAAAAATTGATCTCATCGTATTAATGCTTTAGACAGACATAACTTGCGTGAACAATTGAAAAAATATATTTCTTATCAGTATTCTTGTGGATCACCATAAGGATGTAGCAACATTAAGCGGGTGTTCTATAAGTAAGCTGTTTATGAGGAAACAATTGGGGATTCAATAGTAATAAATCCCAAGCTTGCATCAATCATCAAAGCTCAACTTCATTCGTTTGCAATTCTTACCCTTTTTTGGTACATTGTCGCTAACTCCTCTTTCTTGGTGAGAACCAAGATAATTTCGCGGAGATTTCGATGTATTTAGATCTTTCTTTACACAATCACTTTGATCGCCGCAGATAATTTTGCCAGTTTTTCTCTTCTTCGAAATACCTATAGCAACTCCATTGATTTTTCCTGTTGCAGCATTGAGCTTGAGCTCTGAGTCCTCCTCAAGTTGGCTGGGATCTCGTAATTCCTCTTCTTCGGCCTTGGATTCTACCTGCTTGGCTTCCCATTCCGTTTTAGTTAAGGAGCACTTTGTTTCTTCATCAAAGTAAACTGGCTCATTTTCATCTATCTCATCCGCATTTTGTACTTTTCTACCTCGTATTCCTACATGTCGTTGAGAATCGTTGGAAGAGCTTTCGGCTTGAAGGCGAGCGAGGAATGGTGGTAATGTAGAGTTGTAGAGAAGGTTTTTTGATGTAATTTTCATGGTCCTCGGAGCTGTTACATCGACGCTGGAAATAATCCAACGGATGCTTTTAATAGGATATCGTTAGATGCTCTGACCAGGCCCAAGCTTTTGAAAATGGTTTGAAAGGATCGTAATTTATCAAAGCTTCATATCAGACTGCGATATATCTGTAGCGACACCTTCTTAGATCAAGAATGCGCAGTGTAGTAGTTAATTGACGGTACTGTCAGCCGAGGTGTCTAGTAAACCTCCTCCTGTCCTACGCAACAATAGGCGACACAGCTAGTAAGTTATGGTGCTCCGCCCATAGAAACTGGGCAGGGGTCCTTTCTTCGTACTTGAATTTTCCGCCAAGCTTAGCCTATCATACTGAAGCATTAACCTGGGTTACTAGAGAGGGCTGCAGATATTTCGCCCTTTCCAATCGATTGGCACTTATCAGCCTCGATTTTTAAACAGCAATATCCCCTCGCATCACTGAATGAATTACCTGAGTCACTTCGGCCTGTCCGCTGCCCCACTGTGCCGAAGGCTTGAAGCCTTAGTCGCACCCATTCACACAACGAGATTTTTCTTGGCGATCCGGTCGTTATAATCACACCTATATCATCGGCAAAGAACCTACAGAGTTATACCAAAGAACGCAGTGCCTTCGATTTCTCGGCATAGACTCCCTGGTTTACCTCAACTGGTCTGGTAACCAAGAAAAGACGATTACTTTATACGAGAGGTGGCTTCAGTTGCCCAGGCTGCGCATTTCCATTATGGGTTTCGCTCAAAGAATATATCAGCGGATTTCAAGATCATCTGAAAATAAAGCCCTGGATGAGGATAAGAGAAAGCCCAAGACTTCCTCTAGATTCTCCTTCTTTCGGAGACCTTTAAAGCTTAGAAGCGATTCAAGTTTTACAATACCTCTTGGGGCCGTTCTCCTATTTCCATGTATAGTCGTCGCTCTTATCCTTGTTTTGATTGTTCGGCATCCGGAATCGGGGGTTGGAATATTAAGGCCTGCAGGAGCACCGCCAGCTATCAGGTACTTCCAATCCTCCAAGACCTTCGAAGATTAGGCTGATGTGTACAAAGGAAGATTAGTGAAGAGCATGACAAGGTTTTTGTAACTGGGTGCTTAGAACCAGATACATCTCAACCAAGAGCCAATGCAGCTTTTGTCGTGCTTGCGAGAAACAAGGAGCTAGACGGTGTGATACAGTCTATCAAGTCTATCGAGAGACACTTTAATCGCTGGTACAAATACCCGTATGTATTTTTAAATGACGCGGAATTCAACTCAACGTTCAAAGAGACAGTGGCCAATTACACTAGCTCGTCTATCGAGTTTGGCACTATCGACCCAAAAATGTGGGGATTCCCAGACTGGATTGATCCTAAGGTGGCAAAAGAAGGTATAGCAAAGCAGGGAGACGCCGCTATCATGTACGGTGGAATGGAGAGTTATCATGCTATGTGCAGATTCTACTCTGGGTATGTTTAAAAATGACAGCACTGATTGAATCTAATTGGCGTAGATTTTTTTACAAACACAAACTTCTCGAAAAGTATGAGTGGTACTGGCGATTGGAACCAGAGATCAAATACTTTTGTGATATCACATAGTAAGTCGCGCAAACTACAAATAATACTTAGTGCTAACTCAATAGTGATCCATTCTTGAGGATGATCGAAGCAAATAAGACATACGGCTTCACCATAGCAGTTAAGGAACTCAAAGAGACTGTGCCCAATATATTTAGATATGCCTCCGCGTACAAGAGAGTTAATAATCTGACATCGCGAGGCCTTTGGGAAATGTTTATAGAGCCACCGCCTGAAGCGCAGGGACTTTCGGATGATGAGCTTAAGCACAATCATCATTCCTTGCCCGAAGAAATCTTGCGTGGGGACCCATCACACACTTCCTTACCAGAAATAGACCCAGAGGCAATGGAAGGTGAAAAGTACAACATGTGCCATTTCTGGTCTAATTTTGAGATCGCCAAGCTCAGCTGGTTTAGGAGTAAAGAATATGAAGACTTCTTTCAAATGATGGACCGAAGCGGAGGGTTTTGGTTTGAGAGGGTAATATATTTCAAAACAGTCTAAAAGAAGCTTGCTAACCAAATATATTAGTGGGGAGATGCACCGATTCATTCACTTGCTGCCGGTGCGCTCTTAGCACCTAAAGATATTCATTATTTCCGCGATTTTGGGTATCGTCACACGACTATCCAGCACTGTCCAGCAAATGCCCCAGCACGTCAGATGCCACGCTTACCTTTTCTCGAGATGACGACCACCGACGAAAAGAAAAGAAGAGAAGAGGATGAGTACTGGGAGTCATGGGACCCAGTGAAAGAAAATGGAGTTGGATGTAGATGTAGATGTGACACCGACATCGTGGACGTAGAAGGAAAGCAAGGTAGTTGCTTAGCGGAGTGGGTAGATGTAGCGGGTGGGTGGGCGAGTCCTTGATTCGAAAATATCTCAAATATGCACCACGAAAAAGATGACCCCTCTTGACGGTGGAAAATTGGGAAAGAATAGAGTAAGATTTCTTGTTTTTCTAGGGGATTAGACATGCATTGTGGCGTTTGGAGATAGGAGTGGTCAATATGTAACCCCCAAAGTAGAAATGTCTAATAGTGCAATCATTTGTTTTGGTTGAGCACTTGATTGAAAATGAATCCACGGAGATGAATATGAAGAAACGACTCGCATTTAAGAGGGCCAATTTTGCGCCAGAGTGTTCGTAGTGCTTTTGCACCCATATGGTATACCCTTGTATGAGAGAGTGTGTTTGTTTATGGCGTCACTTGACTGATAGTCGATCTAGAATATTGGGCTGCTCACTGATCCAGGCCACGACTTCTGCAGTGCTCCTATCCTCTTTTATTACAAAAAAGATCACTATTATTTGGCCCATAATGAATAGCCATTGAGCCCAGTTTTTACCCGTGATATTCGGCAACCTTTTGCATAAAATCTTCAACCTAAAAATATTAGAATGGTAGCAATGGAGACTGCGTGCGAGGGAAAAAGTCTCAAAAAACCTGCAGCCCCAACTAGACAAGGCCTAGACACCGAGACCACATGAGGTGCGCATATTCATCTATATCTCCCTTCTCTGTAACATCAGAAGCCATCTTGATCCAATCCACCATCGCCGTATCGGGTGCTAGACAGGCTCCGGAAACTCATTGGATGGCTTTTCCTCCATGATCAAGGGTTGGTGACGAGAAGGACTTCGACCCTACCATCTGATCTGGTCGTGGTTAGCTTCATGATAATGGTGATAGGGGAATGTGTTGAGAGATGAAGACGATTGAGACCGCGGATGCGATTGGGAATCCTCGTCGAAGTGAGGACTTTGTTACTCAATCTCGGCTCTGCAGAATCTACAGTGAGAGCTGGAGATTCGTAGGGGACACCGCTGACGGGTGTTGAGTTTTAATCACCCGTCGTGAAAGAGACTCAGATACTTCATGGCTGCATAATCAGTGTTAGGTGACTCAAACGTTTTTATGAAGCCCAGCCAATTTTGTGATGAGAAATTGTTGATTAATCTATCAAAAAGACGAGAAAAGGAGTGGTGGAGTGGTCGAGAGCTATGAAAAGTGATTGGCCTCATCCGATTATCAGGAGCTTTTATATCAGACCTTTGTGATAATTTTCAGATAGGAGGGCAAGACTTAACACCTGTCAGTGGTGCTCTCTACGAACCTGGGAGTGAAATATTCTCCCAGAGCCAAGTTCAGTCAAACTTCGCAATACCGAACAGGTTGACCCACGAGACAATGATTCAAAATACTCCACCACGTCAAATTTTCATTACAAAAAAGATCGAACCCTACCTAAGCCTCATCAAGTTTACAAGTATGACCAAGTACATCCCCATTCTATTGACCACACCTCTCGTCGACTTTCTCTAGCCTCAGCCGGTCACCAAACACACGCCGATATTTACACCCGACAGAGGAAGCAAAGCGTGGTGCACAGATTTGGGGGACAGTATTTGAGATGGGCGTGAGAGGGATCAGGACAAGTCCATAAGATGATGCAGAGGATGGATACAATCTTGACGGGCGTGAAATTTTGTACTTTGGCAGAGAGTTTTAAAAATTGAGCTTTGTAAGCGCTAAGACTTCTTTTATTTTTAAATCATTTAATGTGTATTCAGCTATGGAGCTATGACACATGACCGGTGCTATGTATACATGTTGGATGACTCTTTTGACGTTAGAGACACTCACTCTCTGGATTTCATTTGCAAATACCAATATGAGGTATGTTCGCTTACACAAACAGTCGAACCTCCTCCTTGAGTACCCATCAAAGGGAATTTCAAAACCTTTGATTATCCAAGCATGCCTTCGTCATCCATGCATACCAGCGCCGCGAGAAATGTGGTTGTGTTTTGCCGCATTTGAACCAGCGATCTACTGTCTCGAGTGGGATATGTGTCCAAGCTATCCAGACTCTACTTGGCAGACCGTCTAAGACGATGTACCACCGCACCATCCAACCATGGCGGTGTTTATAGTGTCGCCTGCACTCTCGCAGCCGAAGGCTTGGCACGCACAAAGCTCAATTTGTAAAAACTCCTTTCCAAAACTCAAAATTCCATGCCTGTCGAGACTGTATCCATCCTCTGCATCATCTTATCAACTTGTCCTGATCCCTCTCACATCCATCCCAAGGAATTGTCTTCCAGATTTGTGCGCCACGCTTTGCTTCCTCCGTCGGGTGTAAATATCGGCGTGGGCGTGTATCTGGCGACCAGCTAAGGCCAAAGAAAGTCGAAAAGAGGTGTGGTCATTGGAATGAGGATGTACTAGGTCGTACTTGTAAACTTGATGAGGCTTAGGTAGGAATCGATTTCGTTGGGAGTGAAAGATTGATATGGTGGAGTATTTTGAACCATTGTCTCGTGGGTCAACCTGTTCGGTATTGCGAAGTTTGACTGAACTTGGCTCTGGAAGAATATATCACTCCCAGGTTCGTAGAGAGCACCACTGACAGGTGTTAAGTCTTGCCCTCCTGGCTAAGACTTCGCTTGCGAGAGTGAAGCTGACACTTTAAACAAAAGCCAATGATGGAAGGTGCTGTGATCCGCCTCCTAGTGGTGTTCTCTAGTATAGTTTGAGTAGACTGGGCACCTACTTCACCTGGGAAGAAGACGCCTCAGAATACATTTAGCGCCGAGAAAAGGTAATGGATGACGCAGATATATCTGGATAATCCAGAGTTTTTGAGACGTTCCCCTGGGCGGGTATTCACGGATGAGGGCTGACTTGGGGTGAAAAAAAGCTGGTATAATTTCGCAGTGGTGCCTGCAAATAAAATGCGAGGAATGAGTGTTCTTCTTTTATATTGAGTCATCTATTTAAAGTTTTTTCTTAAATACTGTATTATAGCTAAATTTCTAAATACGCGATTAAAATCTGATGCAAAATAAACTAATTTCACATAATAAGGCAAGGGACCAAGACTCAACACCAGTTATTAAGATCCCTTACGAATCTCAAGTTCTTACCGTAAGTTTTGCAGACCTGAGACTTGGTCTAACGCTTACCAGGAGGGTTCATATCTTCATCGATTCAACACTATTCTCCGCTATTCAGCACGTCGGAAAGAGGTTAAGTATGGCTATTTTATAGAACTTTATATCTATCAAGTCTTTTCTGACATTTCAGCATCAACTTCGGGAAAGAGTATGAAGGAGGCTAGAAAGGTAGAGAGTAATTCGCTTCAGGTGCCCACGAGTCTGCAGTTCCCAGCAAGGTGGTCTTTACGAACGCTTCAGAAGGAACAATATGTCTTCGGATTTAGTCCTACTTTCGATATTAGAAGAGCCCCATGCCCAGTAGTTTTTGTGATTTTTGCCAGCTGCAATACACCGGCAAATGGCCATAGTTTTGATGGTCCGAGAGGGGAGTTAATGAAGGACAAAAGGCTCTTCTAGGTGTGTGATCGAATGAGAACTTGTGAGGGGTGGCACTGTTTGAGGGTAGCTGTATTGGAGGCATAGGAGGGGATATACTACTGGTATAGGTATCCGTGATCTATAGGCAGAGAGGACCTGCTTGTCCTAAAAAGTCAAAGACTCAGACCAGACAAAAATATCAGATTTTCAGATTTAATCTATGGGTATTTCTATTTATCTAAGATCTATAATAAAATATACCACAATTCACGATAAGCCTTGCCGGCAAAGACGAATTCTTCATCTTCCAGTGGACCCGCTGTAATCGCTCAGTATGCTCTATATATCTGGGATAGCCAAGGGGAATCGCATCCGAATCGAATTCGAAAGCAAACACATGCGTATCTTCATCAGACGACTTCTTGAAAATGCCTCTCTTATCATTCTCATCTGAGGTCTCCCCCTCAATTTTGCTACACTACCTCGACTCAAGCACCGATAATGGCATTACCCCAATGGCAATCGGGAATTTGCTCATCAATAATCGGCCGTCTTCCACTACAAGAATACGATGTTATGTATACCCGCGACGAGAAATTCAAGTCATAATCTACAATGCTCGGGTCTTGGTCTATGGGGGACCGTTGCTCTAATGGGGTTTTACATCTTCAGGGAGGAGAGGCAGCTGGGACATGGTTCGAGCGAGTGAAGAAGTCACAAATGGGCATGCTGTGTCGCAAATTTTTCGAGTGTTATAGACTCAAAGATTCTATGGGCCCAAAAGCAACGACTTCATATAGTGCGACCGATACTCTGAAATCAGGCAACGATTGAAGGTGTTTTAGTCCGCCTCCTGGTCGTCATCTCCTCGAATTGAGGTCTGGGTAGCTTGGACATCTACCTCACTCGAGAAAGGGAGGATTGTGAGTCCATATCTCGCGCGGTAGTTATTTATAAGATGACAAAGACATGTTAGGTTAGCTAGAGGTTTTTCCTGTTTTTCCTTTGGTGGAAATTAATGGTTGAGGGAAGGGAGAGAGTCTCTGGCAAAAAGGTCCCGATTAGAATCATCGAATGCACCCACTACATGAGTTGTCCAAAAGTCATACTGAGTTGTCGTCGTATATTGTCGTCGGGGAAGCTAGTATTCTCCTTGTCATGCTCTTTGAGTGCAGAGCTTGTGCCCGTCACGAATAAGCTTTCATTCATTAATTCATTCCCCATAAGCTGTATAGTTCCCCACGTTGCCTTTATCATCAGTTAGACTTCATTGTCAAAATTTTTATGTTCTTTTTGCTCAATTTCTGCTTTCAACTCTCACGTGCGACAACATGGCGAATGTGGAAGGTGGTGAGGCGGAAACCAGCGGTATCTAGGCGTCGTCAAAAGCGACAACAGCATTCAATTCTGTAGGCAGTCATGCAAAATCAGGGTCGAAGGTATAGAATTTTGAAATCTTGTATTACTTTAAAGATATAAATCAAATAAATTTTGATGAAGCCAACAACGTCGATATACCCACCATGAAGGAAGTGAGCGAGGCCGTTAA